AAAAAATAAAAATAAAAATAAAATCTCGAACTTCGTAATACACGCCAAGCCATCCAATTTCACATCTAATCGCTAAGATTAATTGTGACATCCTTGTAACAAAAATAAATGGTCACATAGTACAAGGGAATGATTTCATGCAACAGTTGTATAGTAATATAATGAAACCGCACTTCAAGAAAACCATGTTTGTTGCATTTGTAAGACCCCAATAGTGGATTCCAAAAAAGAGAACTTGAATTTGCATCCAAGCTCTGGTTAAAATGAGTCCCCTCCAACAATGAATCTAGACCATCCATTTGGTGAATTTCAATATCTACACCTTTACAAACTGAAAACCATTATTTTCTTTTTCAACATTGTTCATCTAATGATAACAAAGCTATCTAAAAATTTTGAAAAGAAAAGAAATCTCTCTAAGGCCTAGATCTAAGCGTCTGAACAAAATGAACGGCTTATGTTAATTAGGCTAAAAAAATACATTCTAGGGTGTCTTCAAATTTTACTTTATTTGTGATTGTTCATTGGAAGGATAAGAGTGTATATTTAAAAATTGGGGTCAAACATATGGCAATAATATGGTTTTTGAAGATCATTTCATTATATTACTATATAACCGTAGTATGAAATCATTCCCCATATATATATATATAGGGTGCGGTTTCTATAAGGTTGCAACCTTTAAACAATCCAACAAAGGCTCACCTCCAAATTTTATCATAACATGTAATTTTGGTGTAAAAAATTCTTAGGATTATTTAAAAATGTATTTTCATATCTAATTATAAAATTTTAAACTTCTAAAATGGTTAAAATCATGTAGATCCATAAACATGTGAGAATCTTGAAAATGGACGGTCTAGATAATGTGTTGCAAGATGCACTATTTTTAGCTCAATATCTTTTTTTTTATACATTCATACATCTCGATATCGAGATGATCAATTAAAGGGATTTCAGTATTAAAACAACATTCCAATGGATTTTTGAAGTGCACATGTAATTCTACATTTTAAGGCTGCAATCTTATATAAACTTTTCCCATACGTATACATATATATATACATATATATATATATATATAGAGAGAGAGAGAGAGAGAAAGAGAGAGGGAGGAAAAATCCTCCCAACACCTATAGGCAAAAATAATTAGTGATTTTATCTATCCTCATCACTGTCCAAAGCTAATGGCATAGTCACGATTGTCCAGTAGTGTTTCAATTTTAATTTTTTTTTTTTCTCCAAATCGGAATGATATTAAGTTTGGAGCATATGTACATCTTAGTGAGGTGCACCTAACAAAATCTAAAAAAAAAATTTGCGAAAAAATTGACAAAAATACCCATGAAACTACTCATGGGTATTTTGGTTGTACTATTTCAGGTAAAATATTTTTTTGATATTTTTCATAGATTCGCCTATTTTTTATAAACACCCGCTTCAAATTTCATATCATTTTGATTTCTAGAAAAAAAAAATGAAAAATGAAACACTACCGAACAATCGTGACCATGTAATGAAATTTGAACGGTGATGAAGGTAGCCAAAATCACTGTTCATTTACGCCTATAGGTATTTTGTAGTATCTTATAT